TTTGATAGTCTGTGCCAAACCGGTATTTTTGCAGACGAAGCTGCGCGACACTAACTTTAGTTTAAATTGCGATTAACAGCTATCTTGTTGACTACAGTATGAATATTCATTCACGAACACAGAGCTAAGGCAAGCCACTTGATTCTACGTAACTCGTGTGGCGATACATAACCTAAACGATTGAGGGATGATGGTCTGTTGTAAAACAATTTAGCGGCAAAATCAATAGATTTTATAATTTTTAATGCCTCATTATTTTTTCATTTTTACAGATGGTGGTCGGGGTAGAAGTTCCGAAATTGAAAATGAACGACGGAAATTATATGCCAGCGATAGCTCTTGGCACCTATTTAGGATTTGGAAAGGTAAAGTAACTAACTATTCATAGATAATGGAAATACCTAACACCTTAGCATTTACACATTTAATTTTATCTGACGTATTTAAAAGAAACAAAAATATTTACGTTTGTCATTTTGATCGATTGGATGAGTGCATGCGTTTCCTTTGACCTTCACGTAATCGGATGTTTTTAAAAAGCGCGCGTTTTGGGGATGTCAACTCTTAATTTTGAATTACCCCATTTGTTGTTGCTGTGGATAACTTTTTTGGCCTAATTAGTTTAAGGAAAATATTTGTTTTAAATGCAATTATAAGTGTCGGCTGTGGTTATTCCCCCACCACCCATTTTTTGATACGGGCACTATTTTTGAGTGTGATTGGTTCACCATTTTAGTCAAAACATTTTTATTTTCAACTTTGCTTATTTATTATTTTGTTTTCTTTAATTGCAATTATTTTCATACAGCTTATAGTTTAATACAGATAGCATATAAAAATGAGTTATACATAAGCCTAAAAGTTTTCACTGCTAATTTAAAATTAAAGATATAAAAATTACAACACTTACAACATAACATTTCAAAGCGTACGCAACTCTACGTAAAGTATTTAATCATATTTTATACATATTTTTCAGGATGGCCCAATTAAATCTGAAAATAACATGCTGCACGATGCAATCATTCACGCATTGAACGCTGGGTACCGTCATATCGACACAGCTGCTATTTACAATACAGAAGCTGAGATTGGTGAGGCACTGAGGATGAAGCTTGCTAGCGGTGAAATCAAACGAGAGGATCTGTTTATAACCACTAAGGTATTTTTCAAACTATTTTGTAAAGAAGATGTTAATGATTTCTATAGTTTTAGTTTAGCGCTTAACTCAATCAGTCCCTGGGGGTGATGTAATTTGAGCAGCACGGGAGGGGTGACGTTGACGTCTGAAGTCTCACTGACGTTTAACTCTCAAAAACACCCTCCCGTGCCGCTCCTATACCTCAGGCGCTTACTGAATTTAGCGGTAAATCTATAGTAAATCGAATATTGCTATACTCATGCAATCTTGTTTTTTTAGTTGTGGAATACAGACCACAAGCGAGAAGAAGTAATGGAAGCAATGAAGGAATCTCTAACGAAGCTGGGACTCAGCTATGTTGACTTGTACTTGATGCATTGGCCAATGGGTCTCAATGTGAGTAACATTGAAAACAGAACTGATGTAATTAATTGTACGATTTCTTTTACGAAAATGTTGTTTATTTATTTATTCATGTAATTGTAGTTTATGCGTGAAGTAATAAATAAATAGATAATAATTATAATCTTCTAAGAAATGGTGCCGGCCCCAGTGTCGTAACTATACCATGAAAGGCCCGTGGTAAATTCCGTTCATGGAGGCCCCCTGTGGCGTATCTAGTTATTTTTCAGGGGGGCCCGCGGGACCATCGCGCTGAAGCAGCGCGAGCAAGGGGGTGGGTGCGATTAGGGTCGAGGGCCCGTGGCATTTTGCCAGTCCTGCCACCCTATAGTTACGTCACTGGCCGGCCCAAAAGATAAGGAGAAATGTAAAGTGTTCCTTAGGTGCTACCTTTTTTTTAGTGTATGTTGACGTTCATAAGTGCCACATTTTCCAGGAGGACTACTCTCATTCTGATACTGACTACATTGAGACATGGCGTGGGATGGAAGATGTCCAACGCCTCGGGCTGGCCAAGTCCATTGGCGTGTCCAACTTCAACAAGGAACAGTTAACAAGACTATTGAGAGAAGCGGAAATTAAACCAACTGCTTTACAAATTGAGGTGAGTAAAGTACCTATACCCGAGTGGTGTCCGGCTCGTGATGAGCCGGAAGACTTAGTTTAGGCAGGCCTCCCACTAGGTGGACCGACGATCTGGTGAAGGTCGCGGGAGGTGCCTGGATGTGGGCGGCTCAGGACCGGTCTTTGTGGAAATCCTTGAGGGAGGCCTGGTCTAACAGTGAACGTCATTCGGATGAAATGAGAGTATACCTAATGTTTAAATCATTCAAACAAAATGCTGAATCGCGGTTTTTATTGTGCAAGTCACTTAATCGTAGTGTAAACTTCTGGGAAATGATGCCTTTATTAAAAGTCACGTAGTTATAAATTAAAGAAATCTCATGATAGATTTTTGTCAACTTGAAGTTAACGAAAAAATGCACCATAATAAATAAAAACGATACCTATCTAATTCAGTTTATTCATTTTTCAGGTCCACCCTCAAATCATCCAAACGGAGCTGGTACAGTTTGCCCACTCTGAGGGAATAGTTGTCATGGGTTACAGTCCATTCGGCGCGCTTGTGATGAGGTATGGCATGGAACTGCCTGGCCCCAGATTCACCGACCTACGTTTGGCTGATGTCGCCAAGAAATACCGCAAAACTCCAGCTCAAGTAGCGTTGCGGTGGTTGGTACGTATAAATTCTTTATATCTGACAGTTAGATCTGTAGCTAGAAACGTTGTGTGATGTGATGATCCAGTAGTATTTTAAAGCTTACACTACCGACCGGTGTCATTACAAAAAAACTTAAACAGACGTTAACCACGTGTTTCAAATTAAAGCATACGAAATGTCAATTTAAACAAGAGTTCAACATCCGTTTAACTTTTTGTAATAACTCCTTAAATGTTTATTTGTTTGGTATTTTGTTATGTTTCTCACTTCGTTTGCCTTTTTAATTTAAAATTGAGACTTATTGATTTTTAGCCACAAAAACAAATCATAATTTATTTTGAACTAGCTTTCCGCCCGCGGCTTCGCCCGCGTGGAATTTTGTCTGTCACAGAAAAACTTTATCGCGCGCGTCCCTGTTTCAAAAACCGGGATAAAAACTATCCTATGTTCTTTCCCGGGACTCAAACTATCTCTATGCCAAATTTCATCAAAATCGGTTGCGAGGTTTAAGCGGGAAAGCGTAACAGACAGACAGACAGACAGACAGACAGACAGACAGACAGACAGAGTTACTTTCGCATTTATAATATTAGTTGGGATTAGTTGGGATGCGTATCTGAAAGTCCGATTGATAGAAATATTTTTTTACAGGTTGACAGAAACATCGTGCCAATACCAAAGAGTGTAAACCCGAAGCGTTTAGAAGAAAACATCAATATATTCGACTTCAAGCTCGCTCCGGAAGAAATAAACAGGATCAACGATTACAACTCTAATACTAGATACACTCTACCCTCGTTCTGGCAGGATCATCCCTATTATCCCTTCGAAAAGATTGCGAGCCCGGCAGCAAATCCTTTTCTTAGAGATTAACAGATGATGTGATTATGTTACTCAGTAAATGTTATGATTTATTATTGTGATAAAAAGTCAGGTTTCTTTGATGAAATTTTTGTACTGATGTTTTAATAATTAATGTGAATTCAAGATAAGTATAACAGTATTAAAGAATGAAATTTATTTTTGTACTTATTTTTCTTTATTTTTCACACCCTTCTTATTGATTATTGAGTATAATGTAGGTATGACTATGTAATGATGATGATCAGCCATAGTTAACTTCATTTTGATTACAGATAATAAAAATTATAATAAAAATAAACTTTTTTAAAAACAAGCTTTTATTCTGAATTTCGAAAGTTTGTATCGCGCATGGAATTTATTCCTCTTTTTCTCTGTTTGCGCTACAAGCTTTCGAAATTCAGAATAAAAGCTTGTTTTTAAAAAAGTTTATTTTTATTATAATTTTATTTTACACTTTTTAGTTATATCTTAATCTCAGGACCCTGGACGTTATCTAACACTAAAGTGCTCGAAAAAACAAATCCAACGAACCCAAACTCGATGAGTTTCCGCCGTTTTGTTTAGGAGTTCCTATGGCCACCTCCCGACTCCATCATCAGACCAGCTCAATGGTACCATAATATTGCATTGTCATCGGACTTACACATGTATGCAAAAATCGGCTGAATAGGAAACCGGGAACTGGGTCAATTTTAAGTTGCAAGATTTGACGACAGACACCAGACATGTGAAAGTAATAAAAAGCTTATATCTTAATCTCAGGACCCTGGACGTTATCTAACACTAAAGTGCTCGAAAAAACAAATCCAACGAACCCAAACTCGATGAGTTTCCGCCGTTTTGTTTAGGAGTTCCTATGGCCACCTCCCGACTCCATCATCAGACCAGCTCAATGGTACCATAATATTGCATTGTCATCGGACTTACACATGTATGCAAAATTTCAGCTCAATAGGAAACCGGGAAGTGGGTCAATTTTAAGTTGCAAGATTTGACGACAGACACCAGACATGTGAAAGTAATAAAAAGCTTGTAATAAAAGTACAGTAAAACCATGCAACGATTCCTTGCATAAAATTAAACATGAAGGCAATTTTTTACCATATTAAATGTAAGTTAGCTTAGCGGTGGCAACACCATACTGCAAGTGTCAAAGTAAGTATTGATTCCGTTCCGATTTTAGTTAGTGAAATAATTTCTGTAACCATTTATTCTTGTAAACTTGTATTAAAATGTTTAAAAATAAAGAATAAAACACAAAATTGACTTGAATATTAGTTAAGTAAATATTATTCTACAATTAATTGAATTATTGATGAATAGTGAATATTTTTTTAAAGTGCAGTAGAGATAGGTCTGTGCGATTCGGACCATACAAACGTCAGATTGAAAAAATAAACGAGTTGGTCTGTCGCTTGCATTTTGTAAAAAATCAAATCAATTTGTCGTCCATATTTCTTTGTAAACCTTTTGTGCAGACAGTGTGAATTTCAGTGCTGGTGTAAGTGAAATTTTGCATAGTGGCCAAGGTAACTCCGTACCCGAGTATGGCGTACTCAGGAAGAAATAAGTTCGAGGTGGGTCTATCGATTGGTGGAACAAGTTTTCTTTGTTTGTTTTTGTTCTGAACAGCTGACGGATGCCTGTACAGCCCTTCCTAGCCCTTTGTTTGCTATCACGTTTAATTTTCTCCATGCATAACCTTTTCAAATTAAAATGTAGCAAAGTTATAAAAGTTACACTCGGCTGGTACGTTCGTAATCATAATAAACAATCCGAATCTATTTTTGACTCTAGAACAAGCACGGAAGCATTCCGACGCTGTTAGTGTACAGATAAAATACTTTTTGAACGTTTACGACGCGTTTTCTGCGCATTTAGTTGCATTTCGTAGTTTTTGCTGTCAGTTTATCAACCTCTGTGGAGGTCAATCAACTCCGATGGTACCGTTACGCGATGGAAATGACCCCCAAATTCGGTGATTGGGTTTTGCAATTTTGGCCACAAAATTCTTTTTCATGTTTTTTTAAGTGAAAATAATTTTGGTATTTTCTATTTAGTAAATATAGCAATTGCAATATTGTGCAATAAATATTTTTTTCGAAACCAGGAAACAGTAAAATTTATTAATAATGTAATTTTCATAAAATTTATCACATTTTTTTATAGCAAACTTAATAATAAAATAGAAACTTAAATTGCTATGCAATTTGTAAATTTTAATATATTTACATATTTGCGTTACATTCAAATAATTAATTATAACATGCACCTGAAAAGTATACATAAAAGTTTATATTTTAATCATTAATGAGTTGCATCTGTTTTATTTTAATTAGGTATTGGCCATGTAAAGCAGATGCTAGAAGGACATAACAATATTATACATCAGACTATGACGAATAATAATATACATAAGCCACATGCAGCCAAAAACTTTGCAAAACATCTTTATTAAAATTGGAATAAGGTTTGTGTTGTCAACTTTTTGGTCACTTTCGGTGTCACAAACTACACTCGACATCAAATAAATCGCACCTCCCGCGACAAGCATTTTCAAACCTATGCATCCCCACTTCCCACCAATATTGGCACCATTTAAAAGCCTAGTTCTAACCTTCATTTCATTAAAGGAAAGGTTTTTACCCCAAAAATGTGTCTTTAGAAGGATCCAGAGTCACTTCTTCAAAAAATAGGTAGTTACGCTAGAGCCAACTTTTATGGCTATAAAACTGTTAAGTTGGGATTAATCGCTATCCATCTGTTAAAGAGGACACGTGAAATCATTATTTGGTTTTATAACGATAAAAATTGGTCTAATTGATCCCATAGGTGAGCCCAAAGTGAGGTATTTTTTCAAGTCACATTTATGGTATATGTTAATCATTTATTAAGAAATTAAATGTGTTTTACTTTAAGGATATTTATTGGGCTTTCAAATAACACCAATATTGTTGGGGCACCTTGATTGTGTCAGAAGAAAATCGTTAAAGTTCGCGTCGCGGAAGGTGCGGTTTATTTGATGTTGAGTTTATTTGACGATGACTGTATGTTACTAAAATTTTCATATTAAACATTTCCTGATAGTCTTGACGTATATTATTGTAGTATTGTTATTGATTCCTTATCAGCTGTTATCAATAGGTGTCAACGTAATTGTTTAATCACATTCATTTGTTTTGTCTACCTTTGTTTGTTGTCTTTTCTATCTTGATTATAATTTTCAATACAAACAAATGACCTAAATGTTTTTGGTCATAAATATTATTATAATTTTATGCAAAACTAGCTTTTGCCCACGGCTTCACCTGCGTCAAATTTAGTTTGTCACAGATCGACATAAATTATAGCCTATATGTATGTTATTCTGGGTTATAAACAATAATACTGTAAAGTTTCGTCAAAATTCGCTCAGTAGTTTTTGCGTGAAAGAGTAACAAACATACATCCATCTAGACATCCAAACTTTCGCATTTATAATATTAGTAGGATAAAATAAGGTCCTGGGTTCAATTCCCAGATGGCGCATATTTTTCCCAGTCTCAGCTGATTATCTAAAGAAATAATTCTAGCCGCTGTTGACATGCAATGTCGTCCGTCCGATTAAACCCGTAAAGACAGAAATTACCTTCATCATTGATAGAAGTTTAGAGACAACTCTATGCTCTAGCACATAAGCATTGTTTTGATAAAACATTCAGGTGCTAAATACGTTTATTTTTTTACGATTTGTCTATAAGTTAAGTCGCAGGTACATAACTTCGCAGTTGTTTTTCGCAGTACATTTGTTTTTCGCGCAATTTGTCAATAATTTTACTGCGCAGCACCTCAATATTACCGCTAATGCTTAGCGCGTGGGCATGGAATTGATAAAATCAACAATTAGAACTATATCGCCACAATGACTTTTGTAACCGTAGGCTAGCTACGACATGAATAATCTTGGGTCAAAAAATGTGTAACAACTGCCAGGGATGTTATGGATATCCGTAACCGTAACCGAAACTTTCGGATATCCGAAATAAAAAAATATCCGTAACCGTAACCGAAGCCGGTATAATATTATTCTTATATCCGTAACCGTATCCATAACCGAAACTACATATCCATAACATCCCCACTAGCTGCCCTGGCGGACTTCGTACCGCCTATGTTCACCAGAAATAATGTAGGATTATAATGGTGAAATATTTTTTCAAATCGGTCCAGTTTCGAAACCTTTTCAGAACAAACAATCAAATAATGTTTTCTCTTTATAATAGACTTGTAAATATACCACGTCATATCCTACTAATATTAATGCGAATGTTTGGATATCTGGATGTTTGTTACTCTTTCACGCAAAAACTACTCAACGGATTTTGATGAAACTTTACAATATTATTGTTTATAACCCTATAGGCTATAATTTATGACGATCTGTGACAAACGAAATTTCACGCGGGTAAAGCCGCGGGCAAAAGCTAGTCTTTCCATATAGCCAAGAGGTGATCTGGACTGGTTTTTTTAAGGAGCGAAGTAACTCCACGTACATTTTTTGATGAAAACACACTAGGCCCTCTGATAATGATAAAAATACTCAAGAATTTTCTTTATCTTTCCAGATATCCCGGTTTACGGGGGAAGACGACAACCACATAAACAAAAAGCTGCCGAAGGAGCTGCTCCTCAAGATCCTGTCGTATCTGGACGTGGTCTCGCTGTGCCGATGTGCTCAGGTAAACGGAACTTTATCTCTTGGCTGATAAGACACATTATTCCGTAAGTACTTTGGAAAGCATGTTAGGGCCTTGCCACACTGGCGGATTGCAAGTGGTTTCAAATCGGAGCGGCGATTCTGCCTAGAGTTTTCACCTCGTGTTCGCCGCAGACACGCGGCGTCGCCGCTCCACTTTGAAAACGCTTGCAATCCGCCAGTGTGGCAGCTCTTTTAGGCAGGGTACTCACCTGCCATGTAGCACGTAACGTAGCATGTAACGTAACCAACCTTCAAGTGAGTACGGCTCGTCCACGGTCATCGCGTATTTGACTGCGAGCCGCCTTTGTGCTCGCAGTGATACCGAGTCGCTGCGATCTCCCTGCGAGCCACGCGCGAGCAGCTCGCAGCGGGCTCGTGCCTATGTACTCACTTGATACAGTATCTGACATTACATGCTACACACACGGCTAGATGAGTACCCTGCTTACTCTTACGACCATCATCGCCTTTAGACTCCCCGCAGACAACAGGCTTTCTTGGGCGATAGTTTGGTCAGGCTGTTGATTAAGTATGAACTGAACATGTATGGAAGTGCACACATTACACCAATTTGGTATCGGCCGATTCCTCATACAAATTAAAAGCCGATCAAACTTTGACTTAAGGTCCTATGCCCCCTAGATGGGGCAGAGGGCATCCACAACAGTCCTCCATCGCGTTCGGTCTTGAGCTTCGTGTTTGATCTCGCTCCAAGTCTTGCCGATTTTCTTCGCCTCATCTGCTATAGTGCGCCGCCAAGTTTGCTTGAGGTGACCATGTTTGCGTTTTCCTTGCTCCAATCCAGAGCCTGCTTGCGGATGTGATCGGGTTTCCTTCGGAGAGTGTGGCCGATCCAGTTCAGTAAAAAAAACTCAGTAAAACTCATTTATTTCTGTAAGTAGGCTTTGCTTGCTTGCTTAAAAAAGCACTTTTCCACTTGCGACACTTGATCTGGCAGCCCCACCACCGGACTAGGGTACAGCAGGTTAATCACCCACTTGCCCGAAATCATTAGATTAACGTGAATTACACAACAAGAAACCTACTATAGGCTGACTAAAAGTCGGCAGTCTGCGGGGAGTCTTAATCGATGGAATATTATGTCCTAAATTGGCTCAAACTTAATATTTACATAATTTCAAATTGCAGGTCTCAAAACTATGGAATATTTTGGCTTTGGACGGCTCCAACTGGCAGAGGATAGACTTGTTCGAGTTCCAAAGAGACGTGGAGGTTCGTATCCATATATTACTTTTTAGTTTTTCTCCCAAAAACATCCTTTTACTGGGATGGAATGGGGTTTTAAGTTTGGCGATATGAAAACACAATAATATTTATATTTTTGGTAAAAGTAACAATAAATAAAGTGTAGGCCCACATACCGGCAAGGGTAGCGTAGGACATCCACCCACAAGAAGGTCAGATGACCTCATAAAGGTTGCAGGAAGGCGCTGGATGCAGGCCGCTACCAACCAGGCAATCTGAAAATCATTGAGGGAGATCTATGTTCAGCAGTGGACGTCCTGTGCCTGAAACGATGATGATGCAAACAAAGCGGGCACAGCTCCGTGCAGCTAATCCTGATAGTCGTTTCTAAATGTTCTTTTTAAATGGATTATGATGAAGTAAAAGGTGACTTAGTTTCTTCTGCCACTTAGCACCAGCCCGAAGTAGTGATAGAGCAAACTATCGGGACGTATATTCGTTTGTTTCAGCCAAATGACATCCACTGCTAGACTAAGGCCTTCCCTAGGATTTCCATAATGACCGGTCTTGCGCCGCCCGCATCCAGGTCCTTCGAGACGTGTATAAGTACCCTGAAAAGGGTCTACATACTAATAGTTTCAATTTGAACTTGTTCAGGGGCCAGTGATCGAGAACATATCTCAAAGATGCGGCGGGTTCCTACGACAGCTGTCGTTACGAGGCTGCGAGAGCATAGCCGATGGGTCGATGAAGACTCTCGCGCAGGTATAATAATATTGTATACGTTTAAATACTTGTGAGCTTTGGCCGGAGGCAGGAGACATAATTTTTGGAACAATAAACCATTACAAAAATTTGGCTTTTATAGATTAAACTCCTCTTTTTGCGTCGGGGGTTAAAATACAGTCATCAACAGCCGTGTGGTGACGGCAGAGTAGAATACATTTGTCACCAACCCCTACTCTTCCCGCGGGTGTCGTAAGAGGCGACTTAGGGACTACACATCAAACAGAGAATGGGCAGCAGCGCTCTCTGAAAAACATCAATCTTTTAAACTGCGATCTCCAACCCGCCTGCCAAGCGTGGAGATTATGGCAAAACCCTCCACTATAGTGGAGGAGGCTCATAGTCCAGCAGTGGACTGTAAAGGGCTGTTGATGAAAATACAGTATTTTTACTAAATAAATAAATATCCTTGGACATTTTACACTGCGCCGCTAGTCCCAAACTAAGCAAGGCTTGTACTATGGGTACTAGACAACGGATATAAACATACTTAAATACTTTTTTTTGTAAATACATACATATTATACATAGAAAACATCCAGATTCCAAACCCGTCACAGAATGTGAAGGCATTATCCGCTGTCACATAGTATGAAATTATCGGCAGCGGGTCTGTCCCGCGTTTATCGAGCTGCTAAAGTCGCCTAAATGTGAAAGCGCTCTAACTTACTACGTTTCTCATTGAGGATTATTTTTTCAGTCATGCCCAAACATCGAAGACTTAAACCTGAACAAATGCAAAAAAGTCACCGACCAGACCTGCCAAGCTCTGGGAAGACGATGCAGCAAACTACAAAGGTAAAACCTGTTCACCGTAAACTAATTTATCTTTTTTTGTACTGGCAACTTTTGTAATACCCGTTTATTTTTTACTGGCAACTTTACAATACTGTCAATATCTTAAACGGATTTTGTTGTCTGTGTATAGTTCAATATGTTATATGGCTAAGTCATAAACATCATTTATAGATCAAGCCCTTAACTCAGTGCCTGAGGTATGTGAGCGACACGGGAAGGATGATTTTGACATTTGATATAAATTATAACGTGACAGAGCATAAAAATCTGAAGTCTCGGTGACATTTGACATAACAAAAACACATCTCAGTCACTGACTGGCTAGACCTATAGTTTGCATTTTTGGTTTGGTAGGTAATAGCTGTTGTTCATAGTAGGTGTGGCAAAATTACCTACTAGAAAGCACGAAAAAAATACGGGACTATTCCCACCTCTCGTTCCTCTTAGGCGTTCGTGTATATTCGGAAATCTATACTTAATCTATATTATATAAAGCTCGATTACCACTCACTCACTCACTCACTGACTGATCAGGGGTATTTTTGGGGTATTTAGAGGGGAGAGGGGTAAAATTGTTAGTGTTTGTTTTAAACTAGATTTTTTGACTGACAGCTTTATTACATTTTTTGAACCAAAAAACAAAATGGCGGCACTTTTTGAAACTCCAACTTTTTTGTTTTTCATCCTGAATTTTTTCTTTTTTGGTGGTTTGTTGGGGTTGCCAAAGTGTGTTCAAAAATGTGAGAAAAAAACGGAAAAACAAAATGGCCGCGCCGCCATCTTGGATTGAAAATGCGATTTCGAGGTGTTTTTAGGGAGGTGTCACTCCGAGATGCGCCATTTTTTTTGAAATTTTTTTTTGAGTTTTTGTGACTTATATAGTCTGCTTCAAGGCCACATTCACAGATTATCAAAAAACAAGATGGCGGCTGAGCCGTCGGCCATTTTGTTGCGATCAAAAAATTCCCAAACTTTGGTAGCAATTTTCCGGCAGATGGCGACACCGGAGTGGGGTACAATGTTCCGGGCGATTGTTGGTCTGTTATTCGAGTGTTGCCATGAATCGGAAAAAACTACCATTTTGGAAGAAAATTTTCCACCACGGCCCCGGATAGTAGAAAATGGAAATTTCCAGAAATTCCAAAAACTTGGTATGCAGTCTGGTGACATTTGGGGACCCGAATGACATTTCACCATTTTTATCAAAAAAGTCTGGCAACACTGAAAGTTATGGGGAAAAGTTTTTTTTGCGACATGGGTGTCTTTAAAGTTAGTGACAGACAGAAAGAATAATGGCAGAAAAAAAATAAAAATGACGTTTGGTTGGATATACGACCCAGATTATGGGAAAAATCCGAAATGTCAGAAAATCAAGATGGCGGCGGCGTGGGCGGCCATTTTGTAAAAAGTTGAAAATTTCGAAATTTTGGAATTCATTTTTCGAGTAGTTGGCAACATTTGGGAAATTCGAGTTGTATGAGGCGGTTGTGTGTCCTGTCGAGAGGTTTCGCTTGGGTGAAGAAATTTCTCCAGTGTTGCCATACCTTAGGAGATTTGGTCCAAAAATGTCGAAAGTAGAAATAACGACTTCCGGTCAAAAATTTGGACGACGCCTCCTGCAAAAGGGTCGTGCAAATGACATTTGACCATTTTCATCTCGATCACCTGGCAACACTGGGAGTTACGGGGAAAAGTATTTTTTTCGACATGGGTGTCTTTAAAGTTAAGGACGGACAGAAGGAGATATGGCAGAAAAAAAATAAAAATGACGTTTGGTTGGTTATACGACCCAGATTATGGGAAAAATCCGAAATGTCAGAAATTCAAGATGGCGGCTGAGCGGGCGGCCATTTTGTAAAAAGTTTCAGTTTTCTGATTTTTCAAATGCGTTTCTCGGGTAGTTGGCAACATTTGGGAAAGTCGAGTAGTATAGGGCGATTACGTAGTTTGTTAAGGAGTATCGCTTGGAAAAACGAAAATTTCCAGTGTTGCCATACTTTGAGAGATTTGGTGGCCGCCAAGCGTTCACCCGTTTTCCTAAAGGAACTAAATTCTCCATACAAATTGTATGCAGGGGGGCTCAGCTAACGTAGAAAAAGGCGAGGCCGAAGGCCGAGCGATAGTATCAAGCCCAGAAATCGCCATAGATTAATTTTTATTGCGTCAAAAAAGCACTAGAGCTCAGTGACAAA